CCCCGGCCCGCTCCAGCCACGCCCTTGGCCCACCCCAGCCACGCCCCATGCCCTCCCCGCGCGTTGTCCAGTTGCCAAGGGGACGCACGGCGCTCCGGGGGCCTCCGGACGCGCCTCTCTGGGCGGAGACAAGCTAGAGGCGTCTCCGCTGAGATGAAGTCGGGGGTCCTGGCCTGTTCCTCCCTGTGCCAAGGGCGAGGACCCTTGGACACTTCCTGCTGCCGAAGCCGTGGGCAAAACATCAACTTCAGTCTAGTTACAACGCCACTCAGCAGACCCAGGTCTTTGTTAGGTTTCAGAGGTTCCCTGGCACAGGCTCTACATAGGCCTTTGTCTCCTAGTCATGCGGAGTGGGGATGTCAAAATTGACAATATCTAAAGGCCCTCAATCACTAAAACTGATTTTCATCCATTTCTAGTAAATGCACAGTGATAGAAACGGGGGGCGGGTACAACACCAGCGAGGCGTTTGGTCCAAGTTTAACATTCAGGAAGAACCTCCAATTTAGATTTTTTACCGTCTCCACATGAGGTTCTACATACAATCTACATACAAATACCGACAGGATTGAAAGAAAAATGCTTTTATCTACAACTTTAATCTTGTGCACCATTACAGACAGGGCATACTATTTACTTAAGTGAGCTATAAATGATTTTTATAAATCTTGTAATTATGAACGATAATTCGTGTGTATGTGTGGGTGGGTGGGTGTGTGGAGCCCTGGTGGCACAGTGGTTAAGAGCTCGGCTGCTAAACAAAAGGTCAGCAGTGGGAAAGGCCACCAGCTGCTCCTTGGAAAGCCTATGGTGCAGTTCTACTCTGTCCTATAAGGTCGCTGTGAGTCAGAATGGACTAATGGCGACGGGATTGGTTTTCTCTTTTTGGGGTGTGTGTGTACCCACAGTTAACTGTGATATCGTTTGGATACAAACACCACAATTTTTGTAACCTTGTTTTGGCATGCCCCTTTCTTATCATTATCTTACCATACCATGACATTAAAAAAGTACAAGTGGTCTGGGCTTCTCCATACCTGAGCAGTGCTTTCAGCTGATATTCATGATTATGATGGTGTGTGTGGTAGGGGAGAACAGAGGTGGTGGAGTTTCAGTGATGTGTTTGTTTCCAAGGGAAGGGACTAGAAGAACTAAGGAATATGTCATCTGTCAAATTATATGGCAAACACAAGTAAACCTTTTGCACATTACTGGATCCTCCTTGGGCATACTTTGTTTCACAAATGCAAAGAAAAGATAAAAGAGAATGTGGATGTGATCAGGAATGGAACTAGGAGAGAGATGCTTTTATAAGTCAGGAAATCTCCTTCAGACTCGCTTTGATAGACATGTGCAGTGCCGTATGGAGATGTAAGAAGTATCCCAAAAAAACCTGGATAAACGAGTAATAAAGCTACCCTCATTACATTTTACCAGTAGCCGGTGGATCAGTTTTGACTCATGGCAACCCCATGTGTTTCAGAGTAGAACTGTGCTCCCTTGGGTGTTCATGGTTGTGACCTTTCAGGAGCAGATCTCTAGGCCTTTCTTCTAAGGCACCTCTGGGTGGGTTTGAACTGCCAACCTTTCAGTTAGTCTGCACCACCCAGAGACCCCTAAGCTACCCTATAATCAAAGAGGAGTTATGTAAAATCACCTTAATGAGGCAGAATGGTCCCTAAGTCAGCAAAACTGGCCCACAACTAAATGGAATGCCTTCAATATCCAAAGAATGTACCAATCCAGGGGGTCTCCTGCCCACAGTTGGGTGTACAGAAACAGAGTCAGAGAGGTTGTGCCCATTTAAGAACTGCAGAGGGGAGAGAAACCTAAGCCAACTGGCTGGTTCTCCAGGCCCTGCTATTGAGATGGACATGTGGCCTGATGCTCACCAGGCAACTTTCTTACATGACCCAGCTTCCCAGGCAGGTCTGCGTACTAGGAGAGATTAGGGTCACACAGAATGAATTCTAGTCCATGTCACAGTAATCAATTGGCATTCTGCTTTTATACATCAATCTCATGAATCTGACTAACGTCTTCCTGAAATTTAGTAATGAGTCGATTCTTTTCCTCATCCTCCTACCTCCAGTGCATCAGCAACTCCAGTCAATTCTCCAAATACATACATTTAATCCATTCTTTTCTCCTATCACCTAATATCATCTCTGTCTAAGCCATCATCCTCTGTTACCTGGATTCTGCAATGACCTTCCAGCTGGTCTTCCGACTTCTACCTTTGCCCACCTCCAATCAGGACACTCCAAACCATTTAGAATAAACCCCAAGTTTTGCACCATAAGATGCCTCATGATCTTTCTCTCCAGTGCGACTTTAGGCTGCTCTACCCTCTTTACATTCCCCCTTCTCTGTTCTTCTCCAACATGTCAAACTCCCATTTCAGGCTCTTTCTATACCTGTTCCCACTGTCTGTAGCCTTCTTCCACTCTTTACATACTGGCTTTTTTGTATCCTTTAGGGCTGGGCTTAAATGCCACCTACTCAGACAGGTCTTTCCAGCTCACATTAAAGAATGTTACTGCTATTATTTTCTATCTTGGCTTGTTGCTTCAACACAATCTGTGATTATTTCATAACTGTTTGCTTATTTTAGTATATGTCACCCTAGCTAGAATGTAAGCTCCTTAAAGAAAGGAACCCTCTCTGATCTGGTCACTGGTGCATTCCCAGAGCCAAGCACAGTGAATGGCTGTGATGGCTGTCATTGTTTTTATTTTCCTGCCCAGTATTCCTTCTCTTTTCCTCTGAAAGCAGAACACTTCCCTTCTATGAGGAACAAATTCCATGTTTGAGAGGGCCAATTCTGCCCACCCTCCACCCCTCTATGGGTCTGGGCACTCTGGCATAGCAATTAGTTCAGATATGACATGACCCCAGCAGAGCCAATCTGTGTCCCTCCATGAGATTTGCTGCATGGCGGCTGAAAGAGAGAGGACGCATTTTACTCTGGGATCTTAAACTGTAAGAACGTTAAAGCTTGGTGCTGACAGCAGCCATCTTACTACCTTGTAGAAGCAATATGAGAATGGAGCCAAGCAGAGGTTAGTCAAGAGAGAGTCTCTTTACCTTTGGACCCCTTGTGCAGATTTCTCATATGATAAGCCAAAAAGAAATACTCTTTTTGGGGGGACACAAAAATTTGAGTTCCATTTCTTCCATTTTCAACTGAAAGAGTCCTGGCAAATTCTCTGGCACGTGGTTGGCACTCAATAAATGTTTATTGAATGAATAAATGAAAAGGCGGATCCATTTTTACCATGCTAACCAAGCCTGTAGTTACTGAGCCTGGAAGGCTGGCAATAGACCCCAGATTGTGGTAAATTCTCTAAGGTAATGAATGCCACTCCATCTGGCCTGTTGGGAAGACTGCCAGCCCAGCAGCCTCTTTGACAACATTCCAACCTGTCTTGGCTGAGTGCCATTTCCATTAGAAATTCCTGTAACATATACCTTGCCAGACTGAGAGAGGGTTATGAATTGAATCGTATCCCCCAAAAATGTGTGTCAACTTGGCTAGGCCATGATTCCCAGTACTGTGCCATTGTCCACCATTTTGCAATCTGATTTGATTTTCCTAGGTATTGTAAATCCTGCCTCTGTGACGTTAGTGAGGCAGGGTTAGAGGCAGTTATGTTAATGAGGCAGGACTCAATCTACAAGATTAGGTTGTGGCTTAAAGACAAGCAAGCAGAGAGACATGGGGACCTCCTACCACCAAGAAACAAGATCTAAGAGAGTAGCGCATCCTTTGGACCTGGGTCCCTGTGCTGAGAAGCTCCTTGACTGGGGAAGATTGATGACAAGGACCTTCCCCTAGAGCCAACAGAGAGAGAGAACTTTCCCCTGGAACTCATGCCCTGAATTTGGACTTCTAGCCTCCTAAACTGTGAGAGAATAAATTTCTCTTTGTTAAAGCCATCCACTTGTGGTATTTCTGTTATAGCAGCACTAGATAACTAAGACAGAGAGAGAGCATGTAAAGTATAGCGTCCCTGTTTCATTCGTCCCTAACGAGAAGCAGTGACAGGCATACCAGCACTCAATAACTATTCAACTGAAGGAAAAACTCCAGCCACAACACTTGTTGACAAAATGCAGAATCTAAAATCACTACATGAGAAAAAGAAGGCTGAACAAGGAAGAACAAGTATATTTTTCCCCATCCTGGAAGCTTTTGGCATCATCTTTGAACTAGGCATCCAGGAAGAAAGACCACATAGAATCAAGTCTGCATCTGAACTGGTCTTTTTACAGAAGGAAGATTGAGACACAGGATGATTAAGTGTCCAGTAGGCAGAGGCTGAAATCCAAGGTTTATGACAATTCTGAATCATTGTGTGATCCAGCCTCCACAGACCAGACACTGGACACCTGAGCACCTATTGTGATCTGATACCTTTAAAAGTTATCCTGCAGCACTGACCGTGAGAAAGCTAGAGACCTTCAAGGCACACACTCCAGTGACTCCTCTCAGAGGACAGTCATCATTTTGCACACGAATGCCTAAGTTCAATTATGTTCCCTTTAACCTACAACTTGATAGGGAAGGCTATATGCTAACATTAGGAGGGGCTGACAGTCTTCACCATATTTTGGTTATTTTGCCACAGATTCTAAACTTTAAAGGAAAAGCTTTATAGGAAAAAAAAAAAACTTCTTTCCAAGTCCTTTTTTTTTTTTTTTAAATCAAGAGTCCTTGGTGCAAATGGTCAAAGCACTTGGTTGCTAACTAAAAGGCTGGAGGTTTCGAGTCTACCCAGAGGCACCTTGGAAGAAAGGCCTGGCAATCTACTTCCAAAAAATTGGCCATTGGAAATCCTAAGGACCACAATTCTACTCTGACACACATAGGGTCACCATCAGTCGGAATCCACGTGATGGTAACTGGTTTTTTGGTTTGGAAGTTAAATACAATTAACCTCTTCTATAAAATATTTCTAGTTACATTATTTTTTCAAGCCAAGCCAAGAAGTTATCCGTATATAAAAGTAAAAATGTCAAGAAGTTAAAAAACAAATCCCCATAATGTTCTCACCTAGTGTAACAAGCTCTTAGAAGAGAAGCCTTTCCTAAATCTTTCTAAATGCTGTGAACTTATATTCTATGTGGCTTTGGTAGTACTTTCTTTTTTTATTGCTCTATACTGGTATCTCTTTCCTTGCAGTGTTAAATGGATCTCCTTAGAATACATCTGGACCTTTACTTGAAAAGAAAAAGCTTATTAAAATATTTTAATATAAATTTCATGTCATTTAAAAATCATAAATGGGATTAATACTTGTTAATGTTCATTTTAATTCTGTTGGTTAAAAATCCCAACATACACTGTCTGCAAATATTTTTTAACTTCAAAACCTAAATAGATGCTCTTAATAAATTAACGTTATCTTTGTATATATGACGTGCATTGACAAAATAGGAAATGGCTTATTTTTTATTTGAAAGTGGAAACCTTTGGCTTCAAGCCTGACACTTAACTCTCCTGATGACATATGGATGGCGAGCTGTGCAACGGGCCAGGTCCTGGTCACTGCACATCTGCAGCCAGGTGTGCGATCAGGTCTTTGGCATCTTGCATGATGGAGGGTATCTCTGAGCCATTCTCAGTCACTTGGGTTCCAAACAAGAACATCTTCCTGTCATTTCCCACCTCAGATAACGCCAAAGCATCATGGATATCTGTGATATGATATGCTGCTTCAAGATCCTTAACCCAGAATGGAAAAAGAACAGAAAAAGTTGGTTATTTTGCAATCTTTTGGGAGAGATACTCTCATTTACCACTCCCAGTGAACCCATCATTTTGATATGGAGAACACTGTGACTCCGTTATTATGGCCCAAAAGTCATTTGAATATAAATATTTTCATCAAAACTATACCATACCAGCATTTATGAATTATCATCAAAAAATATTTTCTGGAACATTGAATTCGCAAACGTTGTGTTATATATATATTTTACAACAATAAAAAAAAAAGTATTTTCTGGAACCAAGCCAAGCCAATATAACTCCGTGGTCAATTTTCTGTACAGAGCAGTCACTCTGCTACCAATTTTACTCTTCTGTTTTGCTTTTTTTTTCTCTAAGATTATTTTAATATGATCAATTCTTTTTAATTTATATTTAACAACAGATATTTGATTCATTAGTCATTTTTTTGTCCATATCAAATTTTACTGATCATAGCATTTGCTTTGTGAGTTTTCACTTATGGCCATTATTTCTACTGAAAAATAATATTTTGTGATCAAATTTTGACAGGTGGAGGGAGATAGAGAAGGCAGCAGGGAGAAAGTGAGTTTAGCAAATGGAGTGGTGGAAGAGGGAGGCAGAGAGGGGAGAGACAGGTGAAGAGAAAGGGGATGAGACTGAGAGATGGCAGAGGCTTAGGGGAGGGAAACCCACAGTGAAAGGCAGAGAGGTGGTTGTTGTTAGTCAGGTTCGAGTAGATTCTGACCTAAGTACTCGACTACTAGCTGAAAGGTTGGCTGTTCAAACACATCCAGAGGCACCTGGGAAGATAGGCCTAGCGATCTGCTTTTTTAGGCCTTAAAGACCCCATGGAGCACTTCTACTCTGACAATGGGATCACCATGAGGCAGAGAGGGTAGGTATTAAAATTGGAGAAGGAAAGCTTGTGCTTATGCTACATGCCAGGATTCAAACCTTGAGGTCAAAACATAACTTCTTTGCCTCTTATATGTCAAGAATTATTTATTGAAATGATCTCAAGTAATCTCTTTCATAATTATACACAAATATTCAGCTGTAGTATTTTAGTTCTTCGCAAAAGTTTTAGCATTTTCACTTCTAAAACTCATTTATAATAGGCTTTTTGTTGTTTTATAGTGTTCGCCTGAACTGGAAATAATCTGCCACTGTGTCATTTTTGTCCCCCTGCAAGCCTGATGTGCTGTACCAGTATCTGGCTGGAGTTAATTACGTCGACGGATGTTGGTAGTCTCAATATATTGTTCATTTGAAACCTGCATTCATTTAATCCCAGAACCTGTCATAATTTTTGTAACTGTGTTAACAGATGCGTTAACACGTGAATGATGTTGCAGGTTAATAATGCCACAGTACTGGGGAGGAAGAGAATGGACAGGGAAGGAGTTAGATGGGAAGAGGGATTTCTTGTAATGATAAAGTGCATCAAGGGCAAATACTGGGGTTATTCTACACTTATATAATTGTGTCTTACCAGAAGTCATTACCCAAAGAGTAAAGAAAGTAAGATGACTTTTTTTTAACCATTATATAATAACTTGGACCAATGAGTTATCTAAAAGTACAGATTAAATATTTTGCCAAGAACCATTAACAAACACAAATGCATCTTCAACTAGAATATCCAATGATTCATTATTAAGTTGAAGTAAAAACTATAAATGTGACATCAAATGGCTCTGTTTATCCGACCTGATGAAGAGATACAAACCACAAAGTACTGATAAACCTAAGTATTAAAAATGGAAATCTTCTGTATAAAAAAGGACGCCATAAGCAAAGTAATATGACAAGGCACCAGGACGGTGGGAGAAGATGTTTGTAATGCACCATTGTTGCTGTAATTGTGTGCCCTTCAGTCAATTCTGACTCATAAAAAACCAAAACCAAAGCCAAACCCACTGCCGTCAAGTCAATTCCAACTCATAGTGACCCTATAGGACAGAGTAGAACTGCCCCCATAGAGTTTCCAGGGAGCTCCTGGTGGATTCGAACTACTGACTTCTTGATTAGCAGTCATAGCTCTTAACCACTACACCACCATAGCTTCCATGGTAGGTCCAGAAGTCCTGATTTTCCATTTCTCAATCTCTTGGGTCAGGCTCCTCCGATCTACTAAGATACTCTCACCTCCTCACCATTTGTACCTGCCCAGTCATGCAAGGGAGCTGGGGTTTGCAGGCGGAGTCAATTCCAACTCACAGGGACTCTATATGACAGAGTAGAACTGCCCCATAGGATTTCTTAGGCTGTAATCTTTATGGGAGCAGATTGCCAGGTCTTTTCTCCCGTGGAAATGCTGGTGGGTTCAAACCACCAACCTTTTAGTTAGCAGCTGAGTGCTTAACCATTGTGACACCAGTGACAAAGGATTATTTTTCCAAAATATATGAAAGACTCCTGTAACTCAAGAAAAGATATGCACCCTAGGAGGAAGATAGGAAAAGATACTACAGTAAAACCTGTGAATGCCAGAACCTGTGTAAGGTGGAAACCTGTCAGAGAAGGAAAACTCAAATATTTTCCACTAATAGAGAGTGCTAGAAAAGTGGTAAGACTGCATCCTGTCAAAGGCAGAGAACTTTCGAGATCCAGAAAAACAAGACAGTCCTGTCAAGTTCCGGCTCTCAAAGGTTTCACTGTAATAGATAATTCACAGACATAGGAACTTCAGGAACCAATAAACATATGAAAAAATTTTCAAACTCACTAATAATTAAGGAAATGCAAATTAAAAGAAGGTGATACAATTTTATTCCATCAGATTAATAAAAATTGAAAAGTCTAACAATACCACGTATTGAGGGATGTGGAGCTGCAGAAACTGTTATATTCTGCTGGTGAAGAATAAATTAGTGTAACATCTTTGGAAAGCAACTTAGTAATATCTAGTAAAAGTGAATCAAAAACCCCAACAATTCCTCTTTTAGGTATATGCACTTGAGAAATGTCTATACACGTCCACCAGGAGACAAATACAAGAAGGCTGACTGCAGCACTGTTTATAATATTAACAAATTGGAAACAACCCAAATGCCCAGCAACAGGAAAACAGTAAAACTGTGGTATATTCATACGTTAGAATACTATACAGCAGTTAACCCAAATGAACTAATGCTACATGACTCAACCTAGAAAATCTCAAAAACTTGATGTTGAAGAAAAGCAAACTGTAGAAGAGTATGTAGAATATTCCATTTTTATAAAGCTTAACAACATGTAATAGAATCCTATATGTTGTTTATAGATACAGGTGGATGTAATAAAAGTATAAAAACACACAAGGGAATGATAACCACTGAAATCAGGAACAGTGGTTATCACCGGAGAGTGAGGGGAATGAGATCAGGCTAGGGTACAGAGGGAGTTTTGACTACATCTAAGATTTTAACATTAGAAGAAAGGAAGGGAGGAAGATAGGAAGCAAATGGGGAAAAATGTTAAGATTTAACCAAGCTGGGTGGTGAGTACATGGACATTGATTATATTATCCTCTATATTTTCTATATGCTTCAGAGTTCATAATTTTTTAATTAAAAAAAGATTATGAAGGAGTAACATACATGTATTATGGTTTAAGGTTTATAATAAGACATACTCTGATGTTCCACATCCACCAATAAGTGTAAACTGAATTGAATACACAGCATACTGTTGAATGCTTAGTCATTAAAAGTACACATTTCTGTTTTCTGTATTAATATAAAACTGTTGAGTACAATCTGTATTTGCACCGACTTTTACCTGTTTGTTTGCAAACACAACCAGAGGAAGGATCGGGTTTGTTCCGATCAGTTGATGAAGGTGTTTTTTGGCTTCAGGTAATCGGTTGTGATCTGCTGAATCAACCACAAAGATCAGCAGTAATCCCTTGGACAGGTACGTTTCCCAGTAAGAACGGAAAGGTTCACTGCCACCAACTACAGAGAAGAGTAGGGGAAGAAAGTACAATGAAAAGAAATTGCAAACAGAAAATAATGAGAATGTTCACGAATTGTGAAGAAGGTAACCAATGTCACTAAACAACTTGTGTAGAGATTGTTGAATGGGAACCTAAACTGCTGTGTGAATCTTCAGTGAAAACACAATAAAATATTATTATTAAAAAAAGAAAGAAATTGCAGGAGTGTCCACTGAGGAGGCAGGAAGGGCACATCAAGATCATTTCTGAACATTGCTATAGTAGAGTGGACCCAATTCTTAGTAGACCCAGAGGGATGTTACTGGGGAAACAGTTGGTGAGAATATTCACCCTTCACAAGTGGTTCATTCTTTGTAGAATCACAAAGGATCAGCATAAATGAGATATTAAATACAACAAGGGATGTCTCCTAATCCTGTTACACATAACAGCCATTTCAGCCGCTGCATGTTAATCAGTTATGGCTTCAGAAAATGGAATGAGACTACTAAAACAAGTCAAAGTGGTGGGTTAAAACATATTTCATTTCTAGTTTGTTTTATTTTATGCAAAATACCTACTCATATCTTTTGCCTAATTATATGTTGTCTCTTATTTATTTGTAGCAATTCTTTATTCTTTATGATTTATACTAATCATTTATTGGTTATATGTATTGCATACATATATCTTCTCCAATTTTGTGGCATCTTCTGATGAGCTTCTACATCTCAATCTTAATGTAGTTGAATTTATCAATCATTTTTCATGTTACTGCTTTTTGTATCCTGTTCTTTTCTGTCCTGAAGTCATATTCTCTATTTCCTTCACAAAGCCTTTTACATTTGGCTTTAATCCATTGAAACTGATATATACATTTGTATATTCTGGGAAATAGAAAACCAGTTTCACTTTTTACTTGTTGTCCCTCCACTATTTATTGAATAGTCACTCCTTTCCCCAGTGGACTTTCTTGTCTTTTCATTTGGTCACTTTGTTTATTCCTGTGCATTACTACACAATCTTAATTTTACAGCTTTTTAGTAAGTGTGTTATTTATCTAGTGCTGCTATTACAGAAATTTCACAAGTAGATGGCTTTAACAAACAGAAGTTTATTCTCTCACAGTTTAGGAGGCTAGAAGTAGAAATTCAGGGCATCAGCTCCAGGGGAAGGCTTTCTCTCTCTGCATGCTCTGGGGAAAGGTCCTTGTCATCAATCTTTCCCTGGTCTGGGAGCTACTCAGAGAAGGGACCCTGGGTCCAAAGGATGTGCTCCACTCCCAGCTCTTCTTTCTTGGTGGTAGGAGGTCCCTCTCCTCTCTGCTTGCTTGTCTCTTTTATATCTCAAAAGAGATTGACTCAAAATACAACCAAATCCTGCAGATTGTGTCCTTCCTCGTTAACATAACTGCCTCTAATCCTGCCTCATTAACATCATAAAAAAAATTAAAAAAAAAAAAAACCTGTTGTCATGGAGTTGATTCTGACTCACAGTGACCCTATAGGACAGAGAAGAATGCCCCATAGGGTTTCCAAGGAGTCGCTGGTGGATTCGAACTGCTGACCAATTTTGATCAGCAGCCAAACACTTAACTACTGTGCCACCAAGGCCCCTATCATCATACAGGGTAGGATTTACAACACGTAGTTTAATAACATCAGATCACAAAATGGAAGACAACCACACAATACTGGGAAATCATGGCCTAGCCAAGTTGACACACATTTTTTGGGGACACAATTCAATCTATAACAGTAAGACTTGATATCTGATAGCTCAAGTCCATGCTTTTTATTTTCTTCAAGAGCATCTCGTCTATTTGTATACCTTAGCTTGTCAAGTTCTTTAAAAAATCCTTTTGAGATTTTGGTTGGAATTGAATTGTATTTAAATATCAATTTGGGGAGAACTTAAATCTTTTTAATGCTGTGTCTTCCTATTCATGAAAACTTTATCATCACTCCATTGACTTAGGTTTTCTTTTCTTTCAATGACATTTAAAAATTTTCTCCATATGTATCAGGCATACTTTTTGTTAGATTTATTCCTAGGTATCTTGTAGTTTTCTTTGCTATTATAAGTAATATTTTTTTAAAAATTATACTTGCTGCTTATTGCTAAGTAACAGAAATGTGATTGATTTTTTTATTATCATTCTTATATATGGTCACCTTGCTAAACTTTGGAGCCCTAGCGGCACAGTGGTTAAGCTGCTAATCAAAAGGTTGGCAGTTCAAATCCACCAGCCACTCCTTGGAAACCTTATGGGGCAGTTCTACTCTGTCCTATAGGGTCTCTATGAGCCGGAATGGACTTGACAGCAAAGGGTTTTTTTCCTAAACTTTATCATTTCTAATAATTTGAAAGGTATTTTAGGTTTTCTTTGAAGACAATCATATTATTTGTAAACAACTACTGTGTTTTTCTTTCTTACTAATCCATATTGCTTTTCTTTTTCTTGAACTGACGATGGTGAATGGAAGCATTGATCACGGGCAGGCTTGTCTTTTCCTAATTTTCCAGGAACTACTTCTAATATTGTATGTTTAGGAATCATGTGTTCTGAAGTTTTGGTAGATTAAGGAATTCTCATTTATTTTTAGTTTATTAAGAATTTTTATCATAAATTGGAATTCAATTTAGCAAATACTTTTTCTGCGTATATTGAGGTGATCATATGCTTTTTTTACCTTTAATTGGTAATGTGAATTACATTTACAGACTCTTGAAATGTCACACCAACCTTTCATTCTTGAAGAAATCCAACTTGGTCATGTTACGTTATCTCTTTTATACATTAACTGGATTTGGTTTGCTACTATTTTGTAGGGATTTCTGCATCTATGTTAATGAATGAGATAGACCTATAATTTTCTTTTTTTATACTATCTTTATCTGGTTTTGGTACCCAGTGACCTCATACAGTTAAACCAAAAAAATCCATTACTTTCCAATCAATATGGACTCATAGTAACCCTATTCGGCAAAGTAGAACTGTCCCATAGCATTTCCAA